TAGCAACCCTGTACGGCAGAGTAGAACTGCCCCATAGGGTTTCCAAGGAGCACCTGGTGGATTCGAACTGCCAACCTTTTAGTTAGTAGATGTAGCTTTTAACTACTATGCCACCGGGATTTCCACACCTACCCTATTGTTGTTGTTAGGTACCGTCGAGTTGGTTCCAACTCATCGTGACCCTATAGGTCAAAGTAGAACTGCTCGGTTTCCAAGGAGCGGCTGGTGGATTTGAACTGCCAGACCTTTGGTTAGGAGCCGAGCTCTTAACCACTATGCCACAAGAACTCCACACCTACCCTATGGCCCATCAATTCCACTCCTATGTATTATCAACATTAGAAAGAGTAAACAAATTATATTTATTCAACAGAATACTCCCTGTCGATAAAGGGGAGTGAACCATTGAGACATTCAGTATTGATAAATCACACTAACGTTTTGCTTCATGGAAGAAACATTCCACACAAAAAAATACGTACTATATGATTCCAATTATGTGAAGTCCTTAACCAGGCAAAACTAATCTATAATATAAAAAAACATCAGAATGGTGGCTGTCTGATGGGGCAGGTTAGAGGAGCAGATTGGTCTAAATCAGCCTAATCAAACTTGACTGATCATCAGCTCCCTGGAGAGCTTTTAAAAACTCCGTTGGCAATGAGTCAATTCTGACTCCTGGAAACCCTGCATATGTGAGAATAGACCTGTGCTCCAAAGGGTTTTCAATGGCTGATTTTTCAGAAGTAGATCACCCGGACTTTCTTCCGAGGTGCCTCTAGATGGACTTGAAGCTCCAACCTTTCCGTTAGCAATCAAGTGCCTTAACCCTGTGCACCCAGGGACTTTGGAGAGCTTTTTGAAAAATACAGATTCTGTGCCCTGTCCCTGGATACCACGATCCAGTTAGATGCGAGGTAAGGCCTTAAGATCTGTTTCTTGTTTTGTTCGCAAGCTGCCCAGGAGATCTGGAAGAGTCATGCAGGTTCACGTATTCATTTGCTTCTGGATAAGCGTGAACATACTCATTTTAAGAGACCACACCATTGAACCTTCCCCTGAAGCTCTCCGAAGAGTGAGCAGTAGCCTGTAGGGTATTGTCACTAAGTCTTCCTCACTTGAAAAGGAGAACAAAAAACTCTCCAACTAAAGCCCCAAATTTTACCTGTTTTGAATTTTTCTTTGCATTATGTTACCTCCTTCAGAATGACTGCTATTATGCAAATATAATTTGAAGAATATTGAACTAAGTCTCTAACACCTTAATATACGTAGAACTTTCCTGTGGTTTCCGTACATAACCAGGTGGTTTAGGGTCCTGAAAGATGGGGGGTAGAGGGCCAAGACCCCGTGAAGTAGGGGAAGCATCGAAGTCCTTCCCTGCTTTACAATCCACCCTAGACCTCTTGACTGGCTACAGGATTATAAGTTTACTTAAATCACTTGCATAGGGGTCAGGGGTAGGTGTGTTGGCTAATTCTTATGAGGGACAGAAGATGAAATAACAATATTTAACTCACTGTGATAAAACCCTTCACCAAGCAGGTGAAGCCAACGACTTGCCAATTTTAAGCCCTATCCTTGCTGACTTCTTACACATTTTGAGGATCTGAATTTGTTCCAAAAGTGAGTGATCCAGCATGCCCATGGCAGATTTGGGAAGCCCTACAGCTGCTGCTCCCCCATAACCATGGATGTGCCTCCAGTCTGATTCCTCACCTTCTAAAGGAGGCAGGAAGGAAAGTGGATGGGGAAGGGAACTGAGGTTAAGATGTTAATAATAACGGTGAGTAGTTGCTGTTCCTGAATAACAACAAAATTCGTAGAGTTCAGATAGAGCCAGCCATGTTGTAAGCTGGATTTATCCTGGTGGCAAACTCCAGTATTCCCTCACTGTAGCAGCAGGCGGCCTGCATGTACACACACACACACACACACACACACACACACACACACACACACACACACACGCTCTAGTCTTCACTTGGCGGTTGCGTCTCTGTGGGGGCTGTGTGGTCAGGGAAAGGTGGGCAAGTAGAAATTGAATTAAAATGAAGCCGCAGGTTCTTTGGAAATGATTCACCTTGCAAAACACCCTTCGGGCTCTGGCTGTGTGGTGCAGCAACGTGGCAGTTTTAACAGAACACCAGGCAGGAGTGTGTTGCTCTCTTGTTCTGTACAGCATCTGCTTTTGCAGAGTTTTAACCAAAAGATCAGAATAAGGACAGCTCTTCAGTTTAGTTTGTGAGGTCCCCCACTCTATGACCCTGATCCACATTTCCACACCTCTCTCTACCTACAAAAAACCAACAAAAAAACAGTTGCCGCTGAATCAATTTCTGATGGCGACCTTATGCGTGTCAGAGTGGAACTGTGCTCCACAGAGCTTTCAATGGCTGATTTTTTGGAAGCAGATTGCCAGGTCTTTCTTCTAAGGCACCTCTGGATGGACTCGAACCTCCAATATTTCAGTTAGCAGCCAGGTGCATTAATCATTTGCGCCACCTCTACCTCCAAAAAGAAAATCAGTTACTGTCAAGTCAATTCTGATTCATGGCAACCCAATGTGTGCAGAGTAGAGCTGATCCATTGGGTTTTCATGGTTGTGACCTTTCTGCAGCAAATTGCCAGGCCTTTCTTCCAAAGCTCCTCTGGGTGTTTCAACCTGCCAGTTAGAAGCAAAGTACTTAACTTTTTACACCACCCAGGGACTCCTCTGCCTACAAAACCGAAAGTAAACCCGTTACCATTGAGTCAGTTCCCTCTATCTATAAACCAGACCAAAAAACCCACTGCCATGGAGTCCATTCTGACTCATAGCAACCCTATAGGACAGAGTAGAACTGCCCCCATAGGTTTCCAAGGAGCGGCTGGTGGATTCGAACTGCTGACCTTTTGGTTAGCGGCTGGGCTCTTAACCACTACGCCACCAGGGCTCCAGTTCAACCAAACTGGACTTCACAGTCTTTCCTGAATATAGTTTTAACTCTCTTATCTCCAAACCCTGAAACTATTTTTCCCCACCCAAAATACCCTTTTCTTCTTCCTAGTCTTTCAAAATCTGACCCTTCCATCAAGGCCTACCTCAAATGCCACCTTCTTCATGAAGGTTTAACCATGTCTCCCAGTCTAATCTGGTCTTGCCCCTCCTTGCACTGCATTAGGGTTTTGTATGTACCCCTGTGCGGCTCTTACTACATTCTGTACCATGTTATAGACTGGAGCTTCTTGAAGTTCCCTAGTCTTCTGGTTCTCTGTGCAGCCCCACAGTACCCATCACCTTCCCACCCCACTGCCGTCTAGTTGATTCCGACTCCCAGCGACCCTGTAGGGTTTCTGAAGCGGTAAATCTCTACGGAAGCAGACTGCCACATCTTCCTCTGCAGAGCCACTGCTGGTTTCAAACTGCTGACCTTTCGGTTAGCAGCTGATCTCTTTAACCACTGTGCCACCAGGGCTCCTGGTACCTATAGTAGCACTCTTTCAACAAAGAACCCTGGACTTGTGATGAGGAGCTCTAGGTCTAGAACTCTAACTCTGCCACGTGTTGGTAGTATGATCGTGGGCCAGCTATTTATCCAGGGGTGATAATCCAAATATTTAATAACTAGTACAGCAAAAAACCTGTTACCATAGAGTCAATTCTGACTCATAGCAATCCTATAGGACAGAGTAGAACTGCCCCATAGGGTTTCCAAGGAACAGCTGGTGGATTCGAACTGCCAACCTTTTGGTTAGCAGCCAAGCTCTTAACCACTATACTACCAGGGCTCCAGTATAGCAAAAGCACCCACCAGTCAGAACAATTGAACATTCTAAGTATCAGCCCTGTCTTTGTGCCTTTCTGTCTATAAAATGGAAATGGTCTCTTCCCACCTCCCAAGGTAGCTGTGATGGTCAAGTGCATAATGCACACGGAAGTAGATACAAAGGGTTACGCAAGCAAAAGTCAGGGTTGTTATTGGTGTTTCTGGTGCTCGTGTATGGGTCCTGCCCTCAGCATCACCGAGTGCACTGTTCTGCCCAGAGAGGGCTCCCCAGGCGAACCAAGGAGCTGCTGATGAGTTGACCAGGACACAACTAATTCGAGAAATCGTGGAGTCAGCCTGTTAGGCCCCACGGAAATTCAGAATATTAGCTGCTTCAGGCATGCTCTCTTGCCTTTTCAGTTCTGAAAAATATGTTTTTCAGTAAATATGTTTTGGAAAATTGAATCCAGATATTTCTAGGAAGGCTTTTTGAACTTTAATTAAGCTTTTGCTCACTTGTGGACACCCTGGTCTCTTGCACAATGACCTTAAAATTTAGAATCCTTAAAGATACCCGCGACCTCAAACTCCTTTGTTTGTGATTAGATGTCAAGGGCTGCTCTGCCCAGATGTGTAAATGGAACTAAACGCCAGACGCATTAACATAGATTTTAAAAAAATCTAAATCTTGCTCATTTCCTTTTCCTTATAGTTTGTCTCTGCTTTTTACCTTTTTTCCTTAAAAACTGTGTCCGTTTTCCCAGCCTCACCTCCTTGCATCCCCTCTCATCTCCAGCTCCTGGGGATACAAATCTTTCTTCACTTCTCCCTTCCAGAGGCATTTAACTCTTCCCTCATAGTGAGTGCCCAAAGGTAATGTTTTGGGTTTATTGGTACCAGTGTCTGATCTTACATACTGTAATTGAAATTAACAAAATGGCCCCCATGTAATGTGTACAGTAGGGAACTGAAGACTGTAGGGAATTGAAGTAGGCCCAGCCCTTGGAGCCCTGGTGGCTCAGTGGTTAAGAACCAAAAGGTCAGCTGTTCGAATCTACCAGCCATTCCTTGGAAACCCTATGGGGGTAGTTCTGCTCTATCCTATAGGGTCGCTATGAATCAGAATCGACTTGACGGCAATGGGTTTGGTTTGGTTTAGACCCAACCCTTGACTTTGAAGGACCCTCACTTAATTGGACTATCGTAAGTATGAGTCATAAAATAACTGTAGGATCAGAATGGTAAAACACCCAGAATAATTTGTAGCCCCTTAGCTGTGGGACCGTCGACGGATTACTTCACCTCTCTTGAGTCTGTTTCTTCATTTGTGACAGAGGAAACATTTACCACGCAAAGTTGTAAAAATGAGGGAGAGTGAGTATGACACAGCCGAGCCAGTATCTGGCATGTATTAGGTGCTCAATAAATGGTGGGGATTCTTGTTATTAGTTTTCTTATTTAGTGTGCGGGATAGTTCCAGAAGCCGTCAAACACTGAAGCAAAGGGTGTGCCCTTTATCGTCACAGTTCTCAGGGCAAAGGCAGTGGGGTGAGCAGAAAGGGCAGGGTTTGAATCAAAACCCCAGAACTCAGGTGCCAACACTACTCATCAAATGCGTGACTTTTCTCGGGTCATATCACCCATAAAATAATGAAAATAATAATACCCATCCCACAGGGTTGTTAAAACCAAGACCTTTCTCCTTCCCCTCAGACAGTGAGAGATTCCTCCCTCACCCGTGCAGTTCTGTCTTTCAGAGTTGTTCCCCAGGTCCACATGCTGATTTGCTCTCTAGCACCTCAGTAAACTCTAAGTTTTTCTGTCTTGACCGTCTGAGGAGAGGGTATGCTAAAAGCCTAGGCCACCGACGGACCCTGCCATGGAGCGAGGCATGCGTCGGGAAAAACCAAGTCCGATTTCACTGGCCCGGGTGGCGTGACAGACCACACTGGACAGCCATTCTTTCAGTTGTGGGTATTGCTCAGGTTTTCATGAACAATCGTATTCCCCGTCTGCGATAGCCTTTTGGTAGGAGAATTTGCAAAGAGAAAAACCCAAAATCATGTTCCAAATCCAGCAAGGGAAGGAAGAACAATTCACCGCTGTTACAGTGCTTTAAGTTTTCTGTGCATTTTTGTCTATTTAGTCAAATGTAATCTAGTCCTCAT